GGGCTTGGGGATGAAGGGCCTGGGCGCGAGCAAGCTGTGCAAATCCGATCGCACCTCGGCGACTTCGTGAAGCGCATCATCCAGCTTCCAGTGGTGCACGTTAACAAGGTCCGCAATGATTTCCCAACAGCGGCGATCGGCCGCCTGCGCCTCCATCGCAGTGGGTCCTCGTAAGCTGGCCGCGGCCTCGTATTTGGTGAAGCAAATCCTCATGAAGCGTTTATTGTAAAGCTTCAGAGAGCCCAAATGTGCACCTTGGCAAAGCGCGCAGCCGCTCTGGGCAGAATCAGCAAGCTGGGCTTGTCCGTCTTTCCCGGACTTCCCATCTTTTCCATCTTTGCCAAACTTGCTCTTCCCTTTGCCCTTCTTTCCTTTCTTTCTTTTTCCTTTGGCTGCATAGGACTCCTCAAACTCGTACCAAAACCAGTCATCCCAGGACTGATCTCTCCAGTGGCTGTGTGGCCATTGTCCATCTGCTTGCCATGCATCGGCTTCTTCGGCAAGGTTAGACCTGCCTTTCTTCCGTTTGAAGAAGCACCTTCCATTGGATCCCTTGCCATCTTTTCCTTTGCCTTTACGGCGGCCCTTGAATCCGCGCTTCATCTTGCGATCTTGGAAACGTCGCTGGAACCATGAGTAGTTCTCGTCGTCGTAGACCCAGAAGGAATCTTCATCAGCTTCTAGAAAACCTTCTGTGCCATCCTCCTCGTCCTCGACCCAGTAGCCTTCACGATTGTCCAAATATCCTTCGTCGATCACCAGGAACGTCTTGCGGCCACCGTGGCCGGAAGGGGCGAGGAGCGGGTTGTCGACGGTAGTTTTGATCGTGCAGAAGATCTCGAGGTAGACTTCGCGCAGCTCGGCAAGGCGGTAGTCTGCCAGCACTCGGTTCCGATGTGCCATCAACGATGTCAGCACCTGTCTCTGATCCTGCGTGAGGTTGGACAAAGAGACAAAGATCAAAACAACGAGATTGGCTGTGATCGGAATGGTACGAGCATGCTGGTCTCTGAGCCGTTCGTTGGCCCGTTCCATCGCATGCTCTGGCGTAAGACCTTCTTGTTCTTCTGCGGGAAGTACTGCTATGTAAGCTCTGACCTCGGCGTTGTTCGGGTCGACGATCGGCAGATGGATGGGTGTCGTTCCACGCTTCCTGCATTCTCTGAACAGAAAGTTGAAACCTGGTAATCCAACGAAGCATGTCTCCATTCCCGCGGTGCAAGTTCATGAATTGCTGGAAGCGGTAGCGGAAAGCATTCGCTGCTCCCTTCACGAAGAGAGGACGCAGGAAGCTCTTGAAATACTTCACTCCGTTGGCTGCATCCTTCAAGCGATCCCTGTCGAGAAGCCTTCTGTGGATAGCTGCTTCACCTTCTCGCCGATTTCTCAACGCTGGTCCACGCTTGTCAGCATCAAGCTCAATGATGTCACACCAGTCATCGATCGCATCTTCATAGGCGAACCAACTACTTCGTCCATCATATGATGGCGGTACTTTTCTGGTCACCTGCTGGAACGCTGAGAGACGGTGTAATTCATCGAGATGACGATGATTCGTCGCATAAGATTCACTTCCATGAAGGAGGTAATCTTCATCTCCTTCACCATGCTCAAAGATAGTCGCAGGGTGGCCAGCCATTGCGCTGTCCTCGGATCGAGCCCCCAGATTCACTTGTGTGTACTGTGTGCCGGAGAGACTCCGGTCACCTTCACCTGTGTGAAGCACACCGGGTATTCCGGTTGCCTCCACCTGTATGGAGCGTACCGACGGGTACTTCCACAGGTGTGAAGCTTCCCGTTTCCCGGGGGCTCCGCTACCACGTTGAGATGTAACCTGGACGTGTATCCCCTCGCTATGCGTACAGGAACACAGGCACTCTACAGGAGCACAGCTGTAGTCCACTGCACTAGAACCTTGAGCAACAGGCATGGATACATGCAAGTGATACGTGAAACAGACAGGCACCTGGATGTGTAACATTCAGTGTTTCACCCCTGCCCCCCCCCGCCCCGACCCACCCCACTTCCCGACCGACTTCTGTTGATTTGCCCCCTTTCTTCTTCCAAGCGTTCCTTCTTCCTCCCCCACGTCCCCCTTTTCTCCCTTTTCCACCTTCCCGTTGCTTTCCTGCAGGCCGCCCAGCGCCGCAGGTTTACACCAGCCCATGGCTACTTTCTGCTCCTGCTTCTGCCAGCCTTCCGAGCCCTGTTCGAGTACAACACATGCTGCCAAAGTCGCTGTGCTCCTTCTGTGCCTGCTGCTGCTGCTTGCGGTGCGCCGCTGCTGGCACTAATGGAGCCGCCAGCCGAGGCGGGCCGCGTAGCGTTAGACTTAAGATACCCTAAACCCGACGTCCCTCGGTGGACCTTTCCAGTTGGCTCTCCTTAAAAAGAAGGCCCAGAGGCCCCCCCCCCCAGAGGCCAAACCCTAAATTCCCACCCAGGCCTGCTGGGCATACCCATCTTTTGCTAGGGCACATGGACCCAGAGGATATCCAGCAGCGATTGACACCGTTTCTTGGGATGGACAATGGGTGGAGCCGTTGGGGGATGATCAAATTCAGCCCCTAGGGCTGAGCCATGCCATTGGCTTGCCATACATCCACCTAGTGTCCGGAGCCGAAAGCGCCTCGGTGTTTTTGAGCCTTTGCTCCTCGACTTCGTCTGATTTTCTTCCTGGCCTTCTTGCCACAGTGGTGGTCGGGGGAGCTCCAGTGGACATGTCCTAGGTGTGTGTCCTCGAACGATCACGTAGGCTGTCTTCCCTTTCTCTCCACCCTAAGCGGGAGCGGACATTGCTCGGCCATTGCCAGCTTCGCCCTTTCGCCTCTTGATCTTCTTGAGGCGCTCATCTTTCGTCTCCGTCCTGAGGGGTTCCTCTTCCGTCTCGCCTTCATTGGAGCGTCCAACTCCTTCTCCAAGTCGCGAAGGTTACCCAAGGGCAGCGTCATCCACATTTGATCGACCTCCAGCCCTTGGGTCCCGCTTCCACGCGCTTGCTCTTTTCCCGTGGGAAGTGGCGCCTGTAACTGTGCCACTTCCTCCTCAACGTATTTCTTGAACTTGTTCTTCCTGGTCCACTCAGATCGCTTCTCAGCGAGGTCCCCCAAGGTGAGGACCCGGAACTTGTCACTATGGAAGTCGAAGCCTTTGTCTCGCTGTGTTTGCCGGCGTTGCCGGCTCCGACTTTTGCAAACATGGAACTCGAACTCGTAGTTCTCGTCCTTCCCAGCTCCATCGTCGTCGGAGGCTGCCAAAATGGCAACTTCCAACCACTGTCCTTTGGCCCCTCGTTCGGAAGCAATTAGCACGGTACCTTGTTTGGTGTGGCTGGTGTATGTGGTGAACTCAATGTAGTCACCTGCCTTCAGATCGACGGCAGCCCATGCTTCAGAGTCCGTGACGCCGCTAAACCATGGACCGGGCATCACGCGCTCGAGCTGGGAGCTCGAGCCCAAATCTTTTCGGGACCTGCCACGGGGAAAGGCACGTGCAACCTACTTGACATTAGGCTTCATTCCGTAGCACTGCGGGTAATTTGTTTGTTAGTTTACGTAACTTATGTATAATTTTAATCCGAGCTTCTGAATAAAAAGATCACCCACATTTAAAGAAAATTTTTTGGCTCCGGAGTGGCTCCGAAGAGGCGTTTCCATTACTTGAGGATTTCATCCGGGGGAAATACCCCACATTTAAAGAAAATTTTTTTGGCCCGAAATTTTTGTAGGGTGCAAAGCTTTCTTTAATACACAAGCAAAGCTTCTGTGGGAACCGGCCCATTCCTTTCAGCAGAGGCTGCCCTCCGAGGCCAAGCTTTTTCCAAAAGTTCAGGGATCTCAGAAAGCTAGCTTTCCTTATTCATTCGCTTATCCGGGGAAGCAATTTTTCATTCTCTCCTGACCTACCCCTTACGGGGCCTGCCCACAGGCACACCGAAACACATTTATCAAAGGGTTCACATTTGTAGGAAGCCGGCCGGTCCCGGCCCAGCTGTGCCTGCGGTCTTTGCCATTGCTTGCTTGCTTGCTTCTTTAATACACAAGCAAAGCTTCTGTGGGAACCGGCCCTTTCCTTTCAGCAGAGGCTGCCCTCCGAGGCCAAGCTTTTTCCAAAAGTTCAGGGATCGCAGAAAGCTAGCTTTCCTTATTCATTCGCTTATCCGGGGAAGCAATTTTTCATTCTCTCCTGACCTACCCCTTACGGGGCCTGCCCGCAGGCAAACCGAAACACATTTATCAAAGGGTTCACATTTGTAGGAAGCCGGCCGGTCCCGGCCCAGCTGAAAGAGCCCCAGTGGAGGTTTTCTCCATGCAGCCAGCCTTTTTGAATGGCTTTCTAATGGAGATTCAATACATTGCTATGGTTTTTAATGGAGCCCAAAGAGCCCCAGCAACCCAGGGATGATTTTCCATTAATGCGGCCCCCGCAAATTTAATTGTGAGGGGGGGGGGGCGTTGGGGGGGGGGGGGGCCCCCCCCCTAGTAATTAGAAGCGTGGATTATGTATTGGATTCACACGCTGTTGCGGTGTGAGCGGCGTGGCGGCCATCCCATCCAGGATGTGTTTTGGTGGCGCGGCGGCGCCCTTCTGCAAGTTCGGTGTGTTCGTCTAGAAGCACCCGGGCAACCAGCCTACCGCACCCGCCAATGTTGCGAATTGTCAAGTTTACAACCAGTTTGCCATTGCAGTCCACGCGAAGCCTTGACGAATCTCTTGACAATTCAATTCATCACACACTTAAGCGGCCAATGCTCGTTGGCCTCACAGCGTGACTGCAATCAGCTTGCTAAGTCTGGGGAAAAACCGTCACTCGACAAGAACTACTTGAGCACAGGGTCCACGGTGGGAGCAGTGCTACACGCGTCGTTGACGGACGTGTGACAGCACGGACCAGCTTTACTCCAAATCTATATCTAAACTCTACGCCTTTACGCACGCAGTGAGCCCTGGAAAACGAAAGCAATCGCAGTCTGAAGGAATCTGTCCGCATCTTGTCTGGCCTGAGCGAGGGCTTTGGGATGCGGAGGAACACCTGGAGATAGCCTTCGTAAAAAACGTGTCATTCGAGGTGGCGAATGTCTCTTGGCCTGGCCTCTGGCTGCCCTTCCCGTCGCCGCAGCGCCTCGCGAAATTCGAACAAGAAACATCGCTGCCGATGGATGCCCGTCTTTCGGCCTCGCGAACACGGGGCTCCGCAGACTTGGGGCGAGAGTCTCGCCGCATCCTGTCCAAGCTGTGACCATCTCGTGCGCCCAGGCATGCTGCAGAATGCCGCCCAAATCCCCAGGTTCCGTGCCCCCCAAACGGGGCCCACCCAACCTCGAAGAAACTGTCTCCGCTAAGAAACCTGGAGCGGCCTGCAGCGAACAAGAGGCAACGGCATCAACGTCTGCGCTGTCTGCGCCTCTGGAGTCCTCGCAGTTACCGCGCTGGCACTGCCCATCCAACGCTTCTGCGGCCGCGACACCTGCATTCGGCGTTTTACACAACGTCTCAACCTTCGTGATTACAGCTCATCTCGGGGCTTGGGTTGGTTTTTCACCGTCTTTTTTAGGATGGTTCTCATACCGATTGGAGTTACAAAAACAATGAGACAAAGAAGGCCACCCCGACCTTACAACACAAGAATATGTCGTGCGACCCGCTTCCGTGGCCTGCATAAACTGCGGACGCGAGGACCCTGCTGTCAACGAGCTGCTGCATGGACCCTGGACAGACCAAGACATGGTCTACTGATCGAACCTTGCGCAACCACAATGAGGCTTTTACTACTCTGTAGGTCGGAACTCGCAGGCGCACATCGTCCTATGCAAATTGAATGAACTGCCGAGGCCACGTCTATGCTGACAAGCTCCAAGGTCAAGGCTCTGTCCAGGTTCAGCTCTACCATCAACAGTTGTTGGTGGATCTGATTGTGCTTCAGCACGTTCTGCAGGCGAGTTTGGAGTGGTACTCGCTGTTCTGCCTGTTGCATTCTCCATCAACAGAAGGACCTCGCAAACATTGAGAGATGGCTCGCAAACTTTCCTCGCCATACTTGCTGAGGCCACAACGGCATGAGCACATCAAGAAGTCAACTACAAATACAACAGCCGGATATGCTGAACTAGCATGAACTAGCACTCCTCGAGGGCAATCCTCAACACCCAATCTAAATAGCCAGCTCGCTCAATGTTACAACGCAGCATGGCTGCTGCAGCAACATCGGCCAACATGCGACCAAAGCATAGGCACATGAAAAAGAAGCATTGTAGCAGCTAGGTTTGGTAGCCGAACCAAGACAGCATCTGGCAAAGCGGAGGGCGTTCTGGTTGAAACGGCTGCAGGGTGACAAACATGCTGACTCTGCGTCGTCCAACACTGTCAGAAACGGCACGCGTTACTGCAAATGCCGGAAAACATAAACTAAACCTGGTTTGGACGTGCAACTGCAAGTTCACCGAACAAGGACATGCCAAACAGCACGATGATGGCTCAGCGATCTTGGTTGTGATAGTGAGGCCTGCGAGCACGAACAATTGTCGGTCCGCCCTGCCCCCCCCCGTCTTGCTGGATCTTAGGCCCCTAAGCACAAATCGCAACCACGCAACCATTGAGACTGACGAGAAACACGTGGCGCTGCCTTATCTCACGACCTCTGCCGAATGCAATGCCGGTACTTGACAGTGAGAAACACGTCTCAGCCTATGCACTAAGCATTCAAGGGCAGTCAGCCAAACACCTTTTGCCAAGCGAGTGTCGTTTGAGTGGGTTGACACATAAACACTCATGGCCTAATTGCCGGGGCACGTGCATGAGGTATTGGAACTACGCGGTCTCCCAAGTCCTACATCCCCGACGGGTCTGGCACCTTGCTTCGCGCGCTTCTTGATCAGCTCTGCTGACATCATGCTGAAAGCTGTTTCCACGTGTGTGGCATCTTTGGCAGAAGTTTCGATGAAAGGTATGCCAAGTTCATCTGCTTTCTTCTGCGCCTCCTCGGTGGACACCTGCCTGCCGGAGCGAGGAAAACTCCACTGCCCTACACTCGAAATTTACCGCAAAGTCAGGGCAACCTCTTGTACATGCACCTGAAAGTCCCGCCTCTCTGCTGTCATGTCACATTTGTTCCCCAGCAAGATCTTAGAGGTACTTTCGTTCACGTATCTGCTGACCTCATTCAACCAATCTTCCACATGAGAAAATGATTCCCGATCACATATGTCGTAGACCAAAATGATGCCATCGGCGCCGCGATAGTATGCACTGGTGATGGTTCGAAACCGCTCCTGGCCAGCTGTGTCCCAAATCTGCAGCTTGACTGTCTTCTGCTCCACTGGAATCGTTTTGAAGCGGAAGTCAACGCCGATGGTGGTGATGTAGCTGTCGGTAAATGCGTCGTCAGCAAAACGCAACAGCAAGCAGGACTTCCCTGTGCCAGAGTCACCAATCAACACCAACTTGAACAGGTGGTCGTAATCGCGCTTCATGGGCCGCAAGGCCAGGCACGGCTGGGCACCGGGCGACCCCAAGTACTTGGGCCAACATCCAGCAACAGTCTTCACAGACTTCACTCACTTCACTCCACTGCCAAAACAACACTCTCAGGGCCTTCTTCGCGGGAAAGCCACATGCTGCCAAGGCACAGACGAACACCCGCCGTGCGTGGCAATTGCAGCTGTCAGCACGGGGCAGAGGGGCCATCTGTATTCACACAACACATTAGGTTGAGCATGGTTTGAGGGGGTTTGAGGGACGGGACGCTAACGCGTTACGGTCTAGACACACTCCACAGTTGATGGTCTGGATGCCCCATTACCTTGGAGATGCTCCATCCGTCCTTGCATTCCGAGGTCCCAATCTGGTGTAAGCATCTTTTGCAATTCTCGCGCGTGAGTAGTAGCGGCTTCACGCACATGCCTGGAACAAAAGACAGACTCCCTGGTGAAACGAAACTTGGCGAAGTCGCAGCCATCGGCCAGAGGTCTTCCAGGGCCTTAGCGCCAAGTGCACCTAGGCCTAGGCGGGGCGCCTGCGTCGCCTTCGCTGGGCACCACCCTGCCTAGGTTGGTCATGGCACAAGTCCTTGTCGACGAGGTTCTTGTCTTTGCCCACCCGCTTTCTGTCGCTTCTGTCGCGAGGCGGTTCTCCACCGATAAGAACCCATTCCTGTGCAGCAAGAAACAGTGCGAGATAGGGAACAGCAGTCTGAAACAGCACTGCAGGTTTGAGTTCCGGTTACACTACACTTTGCGTCTTTTGGGGCTTGCTTCTGCAATTGGGCGGCGAATTCAGGCTCCTCTTTCCCTGCAACATACCATCTGGCGTTCGTTGGCACTATTCGGAGTTCCTCGGGATCCAAGCAGAACTTGCGGCCAGTGCCCCAAAAGAGCAGGCAACTGTCATATTCGTAGCGGACGGAGAAGGTTTTCTCCTTCGAGCTCTGGCAGCGGACACAATGACCACACACCACGTCCTCCCCGGCGTCCTCCGAAGGCTCGCGGAACTCCATTCTGTAGGTCTCACCCTTGGGTCCCCTCCAACTGCCCTCGAGCAAGCTAGAGACTCCGCGCCAATGCTCCGCCAGACTTAGCCATTCTTCCGACCACTCCTCTTCCGACGCCTCAGATTCTTCCGAAGTGACTGGTGAATTCTCCTCGTGAGCCGAATCCTTCTCGCTCTTTGTGCTTGGGCTTAAGACTGGAGTCGGGCTGGGCTGACTCTGCTGGCCACTGGACGTGCTTGATGTTGCAGTAGCATCCGTGGCATCGTCATTTGCATCTCTGTCTCCCAAAAGAGCTTTCTGCTCCTTGACGGGCGGGCTCGGGCTCGCCTTAGGGGTGTCCTTGTCCTGAGTCTGGGGGACGCTTACAAGTTCCTCCAGTGAGCCTGAGGCATCATCAAAGAGAACCTGCTTCTGGGCAGCCTCCTCCATCGCCATGTTCACATAACCATCAGCTGGACTCACGGCTTTCATCCAATCCCAGATGGCACCGGCACCTACGGATGCCAGCAGACCGGCAGTGGAGGAGTCGTACTTCTTGAAGAGCTCACGAGGAGGCGCTGCAAATAAGACATCCACTTGGACGCCTGCCTTCTTGGGCCACAACCTGGCCGCGACTTTCTGCAGCACGTAGAGCCTTCTGTTATCCGTTGTAAACCAATGAGACCTCTCGTCAGGTATGGCCGGTATGGCCATTCCTGGTACCGCGGTTCCGGTTCTTTTCTGTGCCCCGGGGGCCCAGCGGATCACTTCAATGTTTGGAAAAGGTGCCTTCAGAATCACATCGTAAGGCCCGACTCCTGCAACTTCCTGCACCAGGCCTGTCACCTCATCCAAGGCTTGGCCGTTGCAAAAGCGCGTTCGCAGGTGTTCTTGCGAGAATCGCACAGCCAGCGGGGAGATGAATTTTTCTTCATAGACCGGCATAGTCCTTCGAAGTCGCTAAGGCGCCTGCCAAACAGAAGCCGTGTGCATCTGATGAGGACTTCAAAAAACGCTGCAGGACCAGGGCATGGCCAGCCGTCACAACTGGCGTCTCATTGCGCCGACAAGCGCGATGTTCGCCAGTATGCTGGAAATTTCATGAGACTGCCGCTGTATACAGCATTACTAGTAGCGTGTCCTGATGCTACCGGTGTTGCAAGGTTCGCTCGCTATGTCGGACATTCACTGAGGGCTACAAAGATGCTGCAGGCGGAGGCGGGATGGCTTCTGGCAGAGGCGCAAACAGCTGCAAACATCTGCATCCCCCACAAAGCGACGAATGTGCGCACCAGATCGATGCTCGCGCTCTGTCAGAAGACTAGGGATCGGTCAGCTGGCGAGGCCCCTCGGTTCAAGCCGCACGGCGAAGATCGGTGGTTGTCTGTAACTGGCCACGTCCACAAGTCGGGGCCTCACTTGCTGTGCTGTGCGTCCTGGACACAATTTGGGCCGGAGAGTCTTGGAATGTCTTGGAGGTTCAACTGCTAGTGACAGATGATAGGAGCAGGCTCTGTCGGCCCAAAGCACGGGGGAGAATCCACGCAGAAAGCGATCAGAAATTAGCTTCCATCATGGAACCACACGTACCCGCGAGCATGTTCCGAACATCACTCACGACTGGAGGCGGACAGCTGGACATGGAGGCCGCTTCGCGACATGTCCGCTGGACACCATCAGCTGCCGACTGCATTGAAGTCGAGTCCCGGATTCGAAAAGACGAGGAGAAGACAAATGCAACTGCTCTTAGCTTGGTGTGGTGGTGTGATGTGGTGCGGCTCTGCGCCTTGCGACTGGGAGCTTGCTGCCCTCATCAGCCAAGATCCGGCACTCTTCGCTCGTCTTGATGCGAAGGAAACGTGAAATGAGAAGAGATGCGTGAATGCACGAGCCGGTAGCTGTCACACCTCTTCCAAACAAGAAGAAGGGTCTTGCGATGCCCGCCGCTGACAGATCGGGTCGCTTGGGGAAATTCCACAGAACTCGAATCAATGTTGATGAAGGCGACGGCTGTGCGATTTGCTCTTCACAAGTCTGGGTGTATTGCGCAGCACAAAGGCAACTCGGAGCTAAAGCTACGGCAAGGGCTCGCCAAATCGAATTTTCAGTCAATGTCACGCGTGGGACTTTGAGCCTGTGCCCCCGCAAGGATGACTTCTCTCCGACTCCAAATAGAAAAAGCCCAAGGCCCAAGGGCGCCTGTTTAGTCTCGCAATTTGTCCATCAACGGCCCGTCAAGCTTCAAGTCTTCCTCGTCAATCTCGATGTCCAGATCGCCGTCGTACTGAACCTCGTGGTGCAGAGAGATCTCTTGGCCCGAAAGTTGCCCCCAAGCAGATTTCTCCCTGTCCCGCCCGGGCCCGGGCCATAACATTGATGACATCATACACAACCTTCACTTGCGCGACGAGCTCCTGGCCGCGCAATGCCAAGCACCCACAAGCCAACATCTCGATATAGCATACCCGGTTTCTGGAGCAAACACCAGCACCCCTGTTTGAACTGCCCGCGCCGCTCCTCAATCTCAGGATCGTCAAAGAGCTTTAATGTCTTAGTCCTGCATTTCTTGGTTGGGGTCGGTCGCTGCCTCGGTCACCAGGTGCTCGCAGTGCTCCAGAGTGTCTCTTAGGTCATGGCAAGACAACGCGGCGAACTGCATCTCGCTCGAAGACAGAATCCTGGCAAGAAACACGTGAGCACGTGGATGCCATGTCAGAACACAATACATGCTGGCTTCGAGAATGTCAGAAAACACAACAGCCGGAAGCACCCCGATGCTAATGACATTCTTCCAGCTTTGGTGTTGGTAGCGGGAGTAGAAATCCTTGATCTCCTGTGCGAATGCGACCTGCTCAGGTGGCAATAAGGCAAATCCATTACCTCACATGCGGTCAGACATTTTTGCCGCTATTTTGCACAGCAGCCTCACCCGTGAATTGTTCATTATTCGGACTTGTGAGACCAGCCCCGTAGTCCCGACAATCAGGGAGCACGACCAGCCACGAACGGAAGAGATAGAATCCCAAGTCTCAGATCCAGTCGAAAGCAGCGACTCTTGCACGGAAACAGAAGGATTTCCGTGCCGCAACCGGTACAAGAAGGAATGGTTCCGATTGCACGGAGCAGATCGTCTTACTGTGCGCGGCAAGTTTTCTGACCAACACCATCGACAAGCCGGACGCTTGTCGCATGCCCGTGTGGATCCACGCAAGCACAGATCACCTATGGCCTCCGCAAACTCCGATCATTCAAATCAACCAATACTCAGCCTTGTCAGGAGGAAGCGCACTCGGCAGCGAAGCACAACGCAGGCCTAAAGGTCTCAGGTGTGCCTCAAACAACAACGACACTGGCCAAACATGCAGTTTCAAAGACGACGATGCGACATGGAGTCGCAAGAGAATGCTGGTGTTAATGGTCCAACAAGCATATCGCACACGGAGCCGCGCCGGCGTTGCCCCTCAGTCAATGAGCAGTCGATCACACCCACAGCGCAGCCTCCGGTAACCATGGGTGGTGCTACCATCTAGTGAATCTAGTGCACACTACAGTCACTGGAGCACGTGGCACGAGCGGGCCATGAGCCTGCCCTGAGGGAATCTCTTCGCCTTCTCTCGCACGGTGCCTCACTACATGTGTGCAACCACCGCAATCTTTGGGGTCCGAAATCAAACAAAGGTCCGAAAAAAATCACCTGGTGTCTAAAAATCCAAAGAGTTACCAAAAAAACATCACAAAAAGCTGCCAAAGAACAACTCACCTCTTCTAGAGGCTGCACATCCGGATCCAGAACAGATGATGAAAAAAAGGCAGTGATCAAAAAGACAGTAGTAGTAGTAGTAGCAGTAGCAGTTGCAGTAGCAGTAGCAGTAGCAGTAGCAGTAGCAGTAGCAGTAGTAGTAGTAGTAGTAGTAGTAGTAGTAGCAGTAGTAGTAGTAATAGTAGTAGTAGTAGTAGTAGTAGTGGTGGTGGTAGTCGTGGTAGTCGTGGTAGTAGTAGTAGTAGTAGTAGTAGTAGTAGTAGTAGTAGTAGTAGTAGTAGTAGTAGTAGTAGCATAGTAGTAGTAGTAGTAGTAGTAGTAGTAGTAGTAGTAGTAGTTTTTGTCACCCACCTAACGCGGCAATGCCAGCTCCGCGGGGCTCTCTATGAGCATCGGCGACGGGAGGCATGCAATCTATGAATTCTGGATCCTCCAATAACACAGGCCCCTCCTTGCCGGAAACAAGCCACAGAAGGTAAAGCCACAAGTACTCAGAGGCCTGTATTATCCAGCGAACACACTGTACACCTAACGACCCTCGTGACAGGCGACCTCGATATTGAGACAGCAACAAAACAGAGAAGTTAAGGCCACTACTACACGAGGTCGCCTCGCAGGGCACTACTTTGTCAAATAACTCAGGGTCCCTTCCTACTCAACACAGCAGAAACTGGATGCACACTCTACCAGTAGAGCTACGAATTAGATGCGAAACCCCTGCCAACGCTCACGAAGAAAGCAAACCCTCTTCCATTACCATAAAAGCAATAAGCCCATTAGCCCACAGCCCAAAGCAAGGATCTTCGTGAAGGCAGTCCATGCAAAGCCACTACGTTAATCAATTGGTCGCACTCGCTCTGTACACAATTGAGTCCTCAGGCAGCTTCCCGCATTGCAAGCTCACACTAGCCCACATCGCAACTCCTCCGGTGCAGCCTTCTGTCTGGCGAAGGATTGTTCTGCATGTGAGAAGCACAGTTTTTCGATGTCCATGCACGACTCTCTCCGTATCTGCATCGGCCAGTAGCCCCGTGACCAGGGTTCACAAGCAGGGAGGGTTGGATCCCGGCTCACTGACAGACGAAGTCCCCTTCTGGCAGAAACGCCGATTATACTCAAGCCCTGTCGTCAGTGGATCCCAGTTGTCAAGGTAGCAGCCAGCTGCAGCGAGTTTTGCACGACATGTAGAGATGCAGAGATAGGCAGGGCCTCTGATACACCAGTTTTGTGTCCTCTGTGTTGTTCAATGTAGACCCGCACCGAGGTCGGTCGATCAGAAACAACACATATCACACAGATAATTCCAGACGGTCTGCGAAAATCTCCGGTATCAGGCATCAGGCGTCTCGAGAGAACGGTGTTCCCCAGCAGCGGGGCCACAGGCCAGTGTCCCGATCACCCAGAATATCACAGTCCACAGTGGCTTTTAGGCAACCCGTTCGTCGTCACAAAGTCCCCGGGTCGCCAGAAGGCAGCTCCCAAAGCATACTGGTGGCTTGAAAGGAAGCTCTCAGACGCGGCAATCCTCCATCTCCCAGCTCTTCTTTTTCTTGTTTTTCGGGATTTTGTCGAAACATAGAAAAACGGAGGATCTCCGGTGATTGCCCCAGTCAGCGTCAGCAGAGGGATTGATGTAAGTCAGAGGCGACAGGCGTGGGCCATGGCAATGTGTTGCGTTTGTTAACTGAAGACCCATAGTTCATAGGAAGACCCCAATCCAACGGGCTAAAAATGCCAGGAAGCGACGAGACAGGACCGACAAGGGGGGGGGTCAGGAAGGGCAGTGCAAAGGGCAAAGGCAGTGCAAGGTGTGCATGGCAAGGAGCGGCAGTTCAGGCAGTGCAGGAAAAAGCAAGTAACACGGGGCAGGCGGAAGCAATTTGATGAGCAGTGCGCAAGGAAAATGAAGAAAGGCAAAATTCGCAGTGTAGTAGTAGTAGTAGTAGCAGCAGTAGTAGTAGTAGTCGTCGTCGTGGTGGTGGTGGTAGTGGTTGTAGGACATAGTAATGGCTGGTAATAGTAATTGCAACAGTCATAGTAATAATAAGACTCAGACCCAGTGACCACAGTGTCAAGCCTCCTTCCACTTCTGTGGAGAGGTCTCTTCAACTCGCTGAGCGGCAATCTTTGCATTGATGTTACCCAGCCGGTTCCTGAAGCGTGAGGAAGTGACAAGCATAGGATAAAACTGGTACTCGGGGGCGCGCTGGCCGTTGGCTGCATACATGCCAGGCATCGCCAGGCGACTCAGAGGCGACGAACCCCTGGCCAAGCTGGGCAGAGAGAGATCGCTGTGCCATAGGTTCAGGCCTGCTTGGGCTGCGGGCAACGTCGACGCCTGCAGCCAGACTGTGGTAGTTGTGGTGAGCTTACACCTCGAGAAAAGTGTCCAAGGCCTTGCTGCTCGAAGATGGAGCGTGCATAGATGACCGGCAGCGTGCTAACCAGCGGCAGGAGCGAGGGCAGGAAGTTGCGACAGGAAGTCTCGACCCACGGACTCAGCAGGGCCCCCAAATCAGTGAGATTCTCATGTTACTTATCCGTCTTTTGTTATCACACCGCAGCCAAGCTCGGGACTCCATGGCATTTGTTACGATAACAACCTTCGATTGCAACAGCTCTGTGTTTACATGGACCGGCACACTAGACGATCAATGAGCAGTTTCGGTGTTGTCATGCTACGTCTTCTTCTTGCCACTAATGTGGCAGTACCAAGCTTCATTGCCATCTTCAGGAGTACTTCCACTGCTGCCTCGCAAAATGCCCCGACTTTGGCAAGCCCATGACGTAAAAAGGCAAGCTTGCCTGCAATTCACGAAGCGGTTTCTGGTATTTCTCCACATTCGGAGCTGGCTTGAAAAAGGACAAGACCTGACACCATGCAAAGCGTACCATCTGACCGAGGCAGGACAGCTTCTGTCGAATATTGACAAGCGTGAAGACATGTGCTGAACCCACAGCCTTTTTGTTTGCACGGATCCAGCTGGAAGGGCAAAGCCTCACGAGCAACGCTTTGCCAAACGCTTCTACACATCACACTGAACAAGATGTCAGCTACCGAAGTCTATGACAGTCCTGGATTTGTTACATCATGGCGGCAGAGGAATATCACCAAGGTGAGTGCGTCGTTGAAACCCATAGGTCAGAAGCACTTCAAAACAATCCTTCATAGGCCTCGCGTTCATGCGAGTGTGTGGGAGCCTTCCGAGAATCTCTGCCCGCGGAATCTTTGGAGATGCCAAGCATTCCAAACAGCGGATTAGTTGAAATCTAGTACTTCAATTCCAATGTTCTCACGAGACCTTACTAGCCCCTGCCACGGACGATGCTGGAGACAGCTTCGGACTGCTCGCAGGCTGCGCGTGCTGTTGCGAAGAGCTGAGGCACGGTCGTGTCGTCCCAATCGAAGATGATGATAGTTTGCTCCTGAGGAAACGTGCAGCTCGAAAGCCAAAGCACATCCAAAGCACATCCGAGGATGCAGCCTGCCGAAAGTACTCAGCTTGGCTTCCAGTACTGATCATCGACCTCACGCCGCAAGAAGAGCCCCCCGCCAGCCCCGAGCGTTTCTTTCTAGAGACGCGCAAGGCCGCTTCCTTCTACGCGGCTCGGCCGGGGTGTTGGCTCGATCGTCTTGCGGATGCTCGGCTTCTGCTTCACCGCGACTCCCTTTCCAGGGTTTTGAATCGCCCGCCTCAGGCAGAAGAAGCAGAGGACGAGAATCACCACAGACCTGTGAACATGCGCCGCCTCGAGACCATCGCCATGGCTTGCGTCTGACTGGATTTAGGATTGACCTCTGGCGTACTGTCTCGTTTCTACCTCCTGGGGCCCCAAGCTGCGGAGACAGACGACACTGCATCCGGTCTTTCCACAAACCAAGACAAGCCTTTTCCTGCAGCATGTGGACGTCACAAGCCCTTTTTGCAAACTCTTGTGATCTAGGAAGCGGGAAACTTTCGATTTCAACCTCAATCATCGTCGTCCAGCGCCTGCACACTTTAGTCATAGTCAGTATACGCCTGGCCACATCATTCCGAAGCTAGAGGTGTGATCGCGCCTCGAGCCATGCCTTGCGCTCTTTGTTCAATCTCTCCCAGCGCTGCATTGCCATCCGATCTCGTGCCTTCGAAGCGCTCCAGGCCGATTTCCAAAAGCCGAGACAGAGATCGGAGATCGTGAGAGTAGACTTGAGAACTAACCAACCTGATTCGAGACGTGTCAGAAAGTCGGATTCTGACAACTGATGACGCTCCTGAATCGGTTCTTGTATGTTCCTTGCCTGCGGCCGGAATGAAATGTGATGATAGAGGATGGGCATGCAGGGAAGGGTCAGGCTCAAGGAGTTTACCTGTTTAAAGTCCTGGGGCCTGACCTCGTTGCAGAAGATAAGCTTTCGGGATAAAATCCTGAAGGCCTGACTTAGACTTTGGGCGATGAAAGGTTTTCGGCCGTTTGGTTTCTTGAAAAAAATAAGAACGGCCGACAGCGTGGCCCAGTTCCTCGCCTGGTGACATATTTGCATTCTCGCGTACTGTTATTTTACGTGGAACGGATCTTCCACATCGCATCCTTCAGCTCAGCTCCAGCTCTATCTCTCACCCAGCTGCTCCTCTAGACCCAAGACACGAGGCTCACCAGACAGATCCTGAGCTGTAAGCACGAAGACTCGAGACCCTAAACCTTACGTAAAAGAAGCTCCTGACTCGGCCGGGTCTGCTGCCTGTAGGGCTCTACTACTAAGGCTACCTTTCACGATGACGTCGGTCAACATGCTTGGCCATTCGTTCTCGCAGACAGAAGATCTCAGAACCCTAAACCCGCACCAACTTGTCAAAGCTAGGGGCTAGGGGTAGCCGGGTAGCGAAGCGCCATAGGGTACTGCACGGCAGGACTTACAAGGCAACTCGGCACGCGGCGGCACCGCACTCTCGAAATGCAGCAACTCTCGCCTCCTGCAGCTCTTGCTCCTCTTCCGAGTCCAGCGCCTCCCCGACGTATGCGCAATTTCAATTAAGCCTCTTCTTCTCCAAGCAGAGACGGAGGCCGGGTGGGCCTCTGCTGCGGCTTTGTCCTGCCAAGCCTCTGCAAAGGAGCTACGCAGGAGCTCCCGACGCCCCTAAAACACCGGGCCCGGACGACGGGCCTTCTCCTGCTTTGCATAGCTGTTGTAGTGCCGGGCATACTCCTGGGTGGTGCGTCTCGGCAGCCAACCGCACTCACACTCACCCGCGCTCCGCTTCCTGGCAATGAGGGCTCAGAGCGGTCCTCCCGTGGGTTCGGAAGCGGCGATGGCGAACGCGCGGCCCGGGAGCGAGCCTCGGCGGAGCGGGACAGCGCAAGGTAGGCCGGGGCCCGGGAGCGCCCTTTCCCCCCGGCCCCGGCCCCGTTAAAGCACTAAGAGAGCAGCCTGCGTCAGTCAGTGATGGGGAGACAAAAGGCGACAGAAAGATCCAATGAGCACTGAGCACTGTCCGGAAGGGGCAGGTTCTCTGCTAGGCCCACTGCACCTGGCCGAGCCCCGCGTGGCGAGTACGCAAGCGGTGTCTCCTCCTGCAAGCTGCAGACAGCTTTAACGGACTCAACCAACAACGTTCAACAACATGCTGCATACACCAGTCACCACAGCAAGAATCGCTCTCCTTTCGCCGCGGCCTGGGCGGTACGACATCCTTTGGCTCAGGCGGCACTTCTATTCGAGGAGACTGGCCTTGTCAGGGACATCTCTGCGCGAGCTAAAACGCCACTCCGCTTGCACAGCTGGGGAGTGTACCAGGCTCTTCTGTCGCGCTTGCTTCCTGATAGCTATGCGTCATGCGAACACGAGGCTCTCGGGGTCTCCACACACTCACAGCCTCAACTTGGCCAGCGGATTTCTTCTCCAAATACTCCTCAAAGCTCCGGTCGATGCTTCGGTACATCTTCTTGGTCAGGCCCTGATGAGAGGACAGCGTCACAGCTGCGCTGTAGCTGCTGCGGATGCGCTTTGCACTCCGAAGGCGCCTTCACTGCCGAGTCCCACTTTGCACCGGGCGGGAGATGGTGCAACAGCTCGGCCGCAGCTCCCCTCTTCGGGTCCTCAGTCTCTGAACCCTAGCAGCCACCGCATGCTGTGTACGCGTAAGCGAGTCGCCTCCTGCTGCTGGTCTTGGTCGACGTAAGAGTATCTCTCCTCATATTCTTCGACCTCAGCCCACTGGCACATCACGGGGAGGTGCCTCCGGAGCAAAAAGCCACCCACATGTTTAAAGCGTTCCCAGTACTTCAGCTTGTCCCAATCCTTGCATTGGGCCGGCACTTGGAGTCTCAGCATAAATACTTGGACATGTGAGACTATCAAAAGGATAACGAATGCTTCTGCAGCTCCTGCACGTCATTCCTTCCCTCCGAGTACCCACCACGATCCTCCAGCAGTGGCACATGGCAGCGAGCCACGTACCGTCGTGCTTGCTCGTACTTGCATGCGATGCCCAGGTCCTGGAATTTATCCCAGAACCCAGCAAACTGTTTCTTCTGCTTGTCTTTCTGGAGTCTCTCCAAAGTGTCCAAGCCTCGTAAAGGCACGCTTCTATAGCAAATTCTGGGCTACACACGGGCTCGATGCAAGACAGGCTTAGGCTTAGCCCTTGACGCAGGGAATGCTGCGAGATTTCAGCAATCAACCCCTGGTCGTCACATGCTTCGAGCGCCTCGCAGGCAAGGTCTGATGTCAGCAGCTGGAACATCAGAGCATGTGATGGACACCAACCTTGGCTAGAGCATCCTTTGCTTTGTCTAGGAAGTCTAAATGACCATAGCACCTCGGTGCTCCGATGGTCAGTATTCTGCGTTCGACTCGCACTCTGTCTTATCCTGACTCCGCCAAACTGGGTCCGCAACTGCGAAGCCCTAAACCACGCTTTTGCGCGCGTGATCCTGGGCAAACCTCAGCTCACAGGTTAAGCCCTGATCAAGTCTCTGGGCAGGGTGCGCGTTCGAGGTCCGCACGAAATTCCACGAGGGTCGCGCCAGCATGACCCGATTTTCGCTCTGACCTTCGCGCGCGAAGTCGCGCAAAGATGGAGAACTGCTACCGCTCGTGATTTACGCGGCCAAGGTTCTGACTCCTTCAGCTTCTGGCGAATGTGCGGATCTGTAAATAGCATCTCATCCCGGTGGTTGCCCACAAGGCACTCGAGCGCAGCATCTAGAGACTGCTGCCAATCTTTGAGCCTTGGAACGAAAACACCCTGCTCCAGAATTTCCAGGAACGTCAGCTGAGGATGAGGCTTGTAGAAGCATGTGCTCTTGTTCAAGTGGAGTGTGCTTCTCATGACGACAATGTCATTCCACTTCTTCTTGCCAATAACAATGGACTTGTCGTAGGCGATTGTTAACCTCGGAGGCGCTTCACAGAAGCGCCCCGACCGCACGGCCCGGAGAAGGCACTTTCTGGGATGCGAACAACTGCTCCAGCGCGTCGTCCTTAACAAAGCTTTGCACATTTTGCAGATTCAAACAGACTTTCGCACTGGTGCCCCCGGTCTTGTAGACTACTCTTGGGGCCGGGCATATTCGGCCAATGCCTTGTGAGACACAGCTCTGTCTCAATATCTCGTCTCAGTGCGACGTCCCACTGCTCCGTCTCAATGTGACAAGTAGACTGGGCCTTCTCGAAGCGCTCCTTCACAAAGGCCTTGTTGCCCTCTCCCTTGAAAGCCTCCGCCTGGTGGCGTTAGGCAACGCGGCAACGAGGTGAGTAGCAGTCACAAGCGCTTCCCATGCCAGGCTATCGCGGAAATCCGCTGGGCCCACACGGTGGAGCCCCGTGAATCGAGCAGACTTTCACTGCCAGAAAGCTCGTTGTTTGAAGTCTCGATACGAAGGTTATGCTGACATTTAAGCCTTCGTGCTGGTAGCGATGACATCTTGCACTGCTGCGTCTCAGCCGCATGCCCTCTTCAGAAAGCCGTAGTCTTCGAAGAGGTCTCCATACTCATCCCGCCTGAAGCGTCTCGAGCTGCACGGCGGTACAAAGAAAGCTTGCTTGTTCAACGCCACACCACTTTGGCTGGAAACCAAGCTGTCGGAAGGTTCTCGCTGTCAACATTCAAGGATTCCAAGGTCATGGCTGAAGCCTGTCGGAGCCTCACAAAGCCACCGAGCAGCTGAGCAGCTGCGAGTGTGCTTCTTGCGCTTGCGCATTTGTGCTAAGCCCCCTGCCGACTTCACCAGCCATGCAGTTATTGACATTGAGTCCTTGCGAGGCACGAAAGCACCGAAGGCAGCAAAAAGAAAGGCAGCAGAGACTCAAAAATCCCTGGTCGCTCTAGGCCGTGGTTGTGCTTCTTTGCTTCTCGCAGTCTGCTTGACTGAATTTGGATTCCCAGGCCGCACCTCGGCTGGTGCTCTCGGCCGAGCGCTTGAGCCGAAGCAGCAAGACGGTAAGCCGGTACGCGCGCGGTTATATAGATCCTTTCAGAAAAAAGGGAAGCTGAAGACAGTGGATAGTTCTGCGCACGTGACATGTCTGCTTTTTCTTGAACCGATGCTGCACTCACCACTGTTGCTCCAGGCCTCACACGAGCCCACGTGAAGCAAGCGCGACACAGCAAGAAAAAGACGCAAATGCAGCTTATGTCCTCACCAATCCTGGAGGACACAAAACTGCATTCTTGTGAATCGATCAACAGCGCCCTCCGAACATCGCTCGCAGACGCAGAAACCAAGCACTTCAAGAAGAGACTGTGGAAGTGCACGCGTTCCATGAATCAAGACCATGGCGCTCCAAAGCTGTGAAGTTAGGCCTGCAGTCAAACCTTAGCGGCCTTAGCGTGCCTCGGAACGTCTGTCGCCACAGCATTTATCATCACCTGGAATTCGCAGCTTGGTCGAGCGGTCGAGCGAAGGAGAGAAGGGCAGGGGGCCATGAAAAGCTCGCAGAACGAAGCAACGAAGCTTCGTCGCCGGACATCGTCCAAAGCAAACATGCATCGGCGTACCATCGCCACCTCCTTGTGCTGATGCAGAACAGCATAGTCCAACGAGGTCCTCCGGACAGCAATCACAAGAAACTGCTCCAAAGGGCGACACGTGTCCTCCCCGCATCATCTCGGACGAGTGGGTCGGCCCTCAACCTGGCAACGCAGAAGCGCACGAGGGCACTGGCGAAGTGACCAAGGCCTGAGAAAGTGCTCGCAGAGGCCAGCGTGGTTCGTCGCTGCTGCCCTGGGTTGCTGCAACTCATCGGACGCTTCTGGGATATGCAGAAACGTCTTGAGCGCAGCTCCAGTGGAGCAGCGTGTAGTTTCCAGCCTGGTATAGGTGGAAGCAAAGCGAGCACGAAGCAATTTCCGCCGCTGCTTCGGTGCCGAGAGGCCCATTCCACGGCTCCCCAGCCCGACACATCGATCGCTCCCTTAAGCTCCAAGTACTCCTTGGAAGAAGCCCGGCCGGGTCGAACCCTATGGTGTCTGTGTTCTTCCACTCCAACCATCCCCTTCCCGGGCCTCTGGGAGCACCGCTTCCTGCATCAAAAGCCAACACCAGCAAAAGCTGTCTTTGGCACTCGCCAGAGGCCTCTTCGAGCCACACTTCGGGCGGTGGCGTCCTTGCACTTTGGTTCCGCTGTCCGTCCTGGGCGATTGGCTCGCGCGCATGCCGAGCAAAGGATGTAGCAACTGTAGCAGGACAATTACACGATGCGAACTCAGATTTCTGAAAGCACCCCGAACGGACCGCTACCCACACCTGCCCCACCTTCAAGTCGCCTTCTGCTGACGCCGCTCGCGCTTCCATACGCTCCTTGGCCAATATGGCTGCCTCCAGTGCAGTCTCCACTTCTTCGAATCTTCGCTGAAACTCTTCCGCGGCACGCTCTTGCTGCTGGCTCTTTTCCAACAGCTCGGATGCGTCTTTTTCGTGTTGCCAGTGCTCCTGGGCAATCTCGTCTCGATGCTTAGCATTGGAAGAGGCATCCCGCTCTGCCAGTCGTAGCTGCGACTCGAAGTCCTCACACTCCAGCCGCAGGCAGTTGTGCTTTTCTGCAAGCTCCTGCTTGGAGGTTAGGTGCCAGAACCCTTTTGCAGCCAGAAGTCTCAATCGGGAGTGCCCCGCCAAGTTCATGCAAGAAAAGGAAGACACAGGCCCAAGAAGGAGAACCCAATACAATGGGGTCAAAAACAGCCAAGACACACCCAAGTACCTTTCCAGGACTTCGTGGGTCCAAAATTCGCATCACATGCGGCTGGAGTTTGGAATCCCGGAACTATGGCCGGAGCACGATTTCGGGGCGCCATCTGGTCTGGTGTGGTGTGAACAAATCTCGGAAACGCTAGCCTCACGCCAAAATGCGGGCACACGGCCGAAAGTAGCAGAGCACCGGTGCCATCAGTTTGGATTTCAGCATGCATCCTCGATAGACCAGTTCTGAGAGCCCATGTTCGAAACCTTGAGGTTGATCGAAGGGCCGCACAGCAGCGTGCTGACGTTTTCCAGCCCCCACGCCGACTGGACAGTCAGCATCTAAAATCTGCACCGCCACACAACAGGAGTCCGAGCTGTGAAACCGCCGGGTGCGCCTGCAGCCCAAAAACCCAGTAACCTGACGAACGCAGGAACCCCATACACCAGCGTGGAGAAAAAACGTGCACACACTGCGCTACCTCACTGGGTGAAGCCCGCTACCCACACCTGCCCCACCTTCAAGTCGCCTTCTGCTGACGCCGCTCGCCCTTCCATACGCTCCTTGGCCAATATGGCTGCCTCCAGTGCAGTCTCCACTTCTTCGAATCTTCGCTGAAACTCTTCCGCGGCACGCTCTTGTTGCTGGCTCTTTTCCAACAGCTCGGATGCCCCTTGTTCGTGTTGCCAGTGCTCCTGGGCAATCTCGTCTCGATGCTTAGCATTGGAAGAGGCGTCCCGCTCTGCCAGTCGTAGCTGCGACTCGAAGTCCTCACACTCCAGCCGCAGGCAGTTGTGCTTTTCTGCAAGCTCCTGCTTCGAGGTTAGGGCCACTTGCCTGGCATGAGCGATCTCGAAAAGCCAAACGAAAGATAGCAGTAGTGACCTGAAAACTAACTTTGCTTCGAAGTCGAAGGGGCAAGTCGCGCTGAAGCTTTTCCTGCTGCGTTTCGAGAAGCTTCAGACGTCGGGCACACCCATCTCTGGCCGCCTCCGACACTGCGTAGCGACGCTCCAAGCTGTGGAGATCCTTCAAGTCGCGATCGCGCTCTGCTAGCGGCTCGCACCTGGACTTTTGTAGCTGTATTAGTATGGGCTTACGCGACTACGTGACACTACGTGACACTACGTGACTACGTGACCAAGTGCTTACACCCAGCGAACACTTACAGCTCTGAAGTTGAAGCCAGCGTCGAAGGCTTGCAGAGCATGCACTCAGCAAGTTGTAGCTCCAAGTCTGCACTACTGGCTTCCAGGCTCCGTACACGGCAATATGCTTCCAGCAGTGCAAGCGTCAGCTAATGTGAGTGCTTTGACGTTCGGGGCTCACAGGGGGTCCGGTTCTTTGCTGCAGCTGCTTCGCTCTTGGCGAGAGTAGACTCCAGCTGCTGGTGCTGTTCACGTCTGGAATACGGAGCTGCTCCAGCTGCCCAATAAGTCGGTACGGGTTTACTTCGACCGGTCCATCTTCGGGGGCGCTTGCAGCTCGATGCATCTTTCTGTCAAATCTGCGTCTGAAGGCTGAGCTGCGCCTGACTGCCTGGACGGAAATTTAACACCGATGGTATGTGTTTCTTCGCATTCGTCTTTGCGCATGCAGACTTTCCATGCTTCTGTTTCTTGGGCATGAACCACAATGAAGAACCACAGGGGCGAGGAGTGTGGAATGGCCTCCCCACAGCCTGGACAAGAACCTTGGCCCTCGTCCAGGGCGAAAAAAAGAAAAGTTTAGAGGAGAAGTACTTGTTTCGTTCTCAAAAGCTCGAACTTCAAATTCTGGGTGATACATAGCACATGGGAGGTCGAACCTATAACGGCTTGCGAAAACACCCTCCAAACGGCTGACCGAATTGTCCGAACGGCACCAAAGGTGGGTACAGCTAGTTGTTTGGAGCGAATCTTGGTCACCTTTGCTGTCTCCATGGCGTACGCCTCGAAGGGGTGCAGCGTCCTTCTTCAAGTGAGCGATGACGATGGGTGGTCATGCTGGAACATCCAAGTCCGAACCGAGAGCAGCACTTGATCTTCTTCCCATCGCTGCACCTTGCAAATTGAAACAGACGACGTGCAGAAGCACCCTGCAAGCAACAAAATCGGGATGGAGCACCTCCAGCTTGCAGCAAGCCGGTGATGGAAGAGGTGAAAAGCAGGCCGGACCAAACATAATTGCCGCCGGTTGTGATTCCCCGAAGCTTTTTACGAAGGAGCCCTTCTCCCCTCCCACCGTGCAAGGGTGTCAACGAAAGACACGGGATGATCCATGGCAACCGCTGTTCGTGGATGCCCTGCGGGACGTAGCTTTCAAGAATCAAAGGCAAGAGAGAGGCGGATTTTGAAAACAAAAAAATCTTGAGAAACAAAGCACGTACAAAACACAGAGGGGAATGAGCAGGCTTAGGGGTGCGAGCGTGTTTTCATCGAATGTCGTTAACATGCCCCAGCATCACCACTGTGCACCTTGATCGGACACTGCTGGAGATCTTCCTCCTTCGGGACCAAATTTGAGAAAGTGTGCTTTCAAACAGTGCACAAAGGCTGCAGATCCTGACTGGCACATCGAGTCTGCAGACCTTGGGACATCTGTACTGAGCTGTGGCACATATGAGCACCATGCAGGCCTGTGCTCCGAACTCTAAGTTGGATGTCTGCCACGGGCGACTGCTGGGGACACTCGATGGCCCAAACATGCATGTTCACCAGTTGCGATTATGACATGGAGAACGTGTCATCACGTTCGCCCAGTCGGCCTGAAGGCTTGCGTAACCTGAGGAAGCATCGGGGTCACGCGCAACAGGATTTCAAACCGCGTCTACAAAAAGGAATTTGCACGGCTTGAGATTCACACCGTTCGGAAACGGCCGCTGCCTGCATCTGCAATTCCGTGTTTCAGACAAAACACATGTTGTTCTGCCCAACTTACAGTGCGGACCCACAAAGGTACAGCCCTGGAAAACTGTTGCATCGAGCTCTGTCTTCGGGACCCATCTCTCAAAACATAAGTTACATAAGCACAATTCTTGCTGTACGGACACAGGAGATCTGGCGTGTGCTTGAATACTCTATGTGGCATCTCGCTTGCCATTGAAAACTCAATAATCTACGTGCTCAGGTGGCATGTTGGCGATCGTTTTTTCTGTGATGCTACGTATCGTCGCAGCGACGGACCAGGGGGTCTCAAGACTCTTCCTTCTTTTGGGTTTCAGGTGGCAGCCAGTGGCCTTGCGTGCGCAACAATTCCTTGATTGAGGCAGGGCATAGACACACCTCTGGTGCAGAGCCTGCACCCCCCAAAAAGCCTAAGTCGAAAGGCCTGTCGGCTTCCTGGCACAGGTCGCTAGCTCCTGTGTTGGAGTGGGATTCGGATTCGATCGGCTCTTCCAAGCACTGCGACGAGGATCGAAGGCTTCGATGGCTGTTACGCGATTCGCCCTAAGCCATCGGAACAAGATTTTTGAAGATTTATTGCGTCCTTTAAGCGAAGCCTTGATCTCGCAAAGCCGCACGATCGGCGGATACTTTTGCCGGCACCAAAAGCTGCACAGCTCTTTCCCTCAGATCTTGCATTCCGTGTCTGAACAAGAAGGGCAGCCGAGTTGGCACTGTGCACACTGCTCTTTCGGAAATTCATGTCGGAGACTGGAAGGCACTGCCGAGCGGACGGCTCCGTCTCTCCCGCCGGCGGACCTGGAGGCCAAGATTTGAAAAAGCTCCTGAAAGCGCTTCTTACCTGGGAGCTGCGCTGTATCCAGCAAGCGGCGCAACTCTTAAAGTCGCACCTGGCTCGAAGAACTGGCGAGGTAAAATGCAATGGAGGAAGCGGTCTGGCCTGACGTCGAACACCTCACGGCCTTAGCAAGACCACACTCATTGACGCGACTAACCGGGAAAGTGTCACGCCGTAGCGAGCAGCACAGTGCTTTGACACCCTCGAAAAAGGTGAAAAAAAAGAGCAGGGCACTGTTGCAAATCAGATGCGTGAGCCTTGCAAGCAAGCTGAGCTGAACACGTTGGCGGTTGGGGACTCTTTCTCATGATCTCTACGAAAGGTTCCCAAACGGCCCAAGCCTCCATCGTCTGCAGACCGCAAGACTATACGGAATACGGGATACGGCCTGACTTTGATCTGCGCGGCGGCTCACGGAACTGAGAGTCAAGCAGCAGTTCCTGCTCGATCTTGGGACCTCGGAAAGACGCACGGCAAAGGTTCGGACCAAAGCACTCCAAGTCATGGAGCTATGGAGCTTAGACCATGGCAGAATGCCACACCAGCTCTGTCAACGCGCGGCTCGGGGATCCTCAAACTCCTCCGCTTCCGGCCAGAGCACAAAAATGCGAAGTCGGCTTTTGACATCGCCAAGTAGAGCAAAGTTTTAAACCCGCATGCGACGACTCATCTTGTGTTCTTTCATCAAGCTTTCGCAGCAGAAACCGGCATGCCTCATTGAATTCCACCCACTTCTGCCTTTCAGCCATCATTTTGGCATAATTATACGCGCGCACTTCCCACCGTGCCAATCTGCAAGCGCAGCAATGCGCCAGGCGCCCGTCTTTCCAGCGAAGGTTGTTCAAACTTTAGAAAGTCTAAGCCGAGGCCGAGACCGGGTCCTGCCAAATGCTGCTGCGTCGCTCGAGCGGCCTCGAAATCATGGCGCGCGCGCGCGGGGCGCGCGTCCCCAGAAGAACTGCAGTAAACAACCGCTAGCCGCCGCTAGCGCCAGCCGCGAGACCGGGCCGCGGACCTCACGAAGGGCGCTCGCGAGGCTTCTCATCTCACGTTTTTTCACGGCATGTTAGACTCATACCTACACATCAACGCACGCCTCCCCAACCGCTGCGGCACATGGCAGCACTGCGGTCTATGCAGTCAAGCTTCTTTGCTAGCCTTATCCTGGTCCTAACAGCTGCACCCGTAAACAAGCAAATGTTGCAAAGAAAGCGCTGCATGATTGGTACTGTATTTAAACACCTGACAGACTTGAACCCATGCGGCGCAGAGGTTCGCATGCCAGAAAGACTTCAAACACGAACTCTCTAAAGCCGGTTGCCAGAACCACCGGTCATCTGGCCTCCATTCGCGCCTCTTGGAGTCTGTCTCTGGCCGACCGACACAGGCTGAGGAAACTACCAGCAGCGCACAAAAGCACCTATGTTGCTATGCGCACTGCTTCAAAGCATTTCCAAGGAAAACGGCAATCTGCACAGGGTTCTCCTCTGGACTGCCATCCTGCCACAGTATGCCAGCCACGTATCTGATGCCAATACTCTTGCGGCAATGCCGGCACAAATTTCTTGAATCGCCGGTTGCCGTAAAGCCCGGACAGGGATCCAAAACCGTATTGTAATGAAGCGGTGCGTAGGATGGTTATCTTGCAAAGCCACGTTGAATGCCTGGAACAGCTCAGCTTCCTCCAAGAAATGCGCATCTGTGTGGTCCCCAAGACGAGCAGCTGGAATTCTCTTTGGTGGCGGTTTTTTTAGCAAGGCAAACAGAGCTGCATGACCGGTGTTGAGAACCTGGGTCCGATTCGGACGTAGTCGATCAAACGCTCGATGTCGTCCAGGACAATGCAAGACAAATCGCTCTGTAGGCATCTTCGACGACCTTTGGCAATGGCTGAGATCTTGCTTGATCGGACGGAAAACCTTACGAAGTTTCGCTGGGTATGCGGCGAACAAAGGGGTGTCTGATTTTGAGCTAATGAGAGTGAGAGCGGTTTTGCCGCAACCACGCTCACCATTGCAGCAGCAGGCTAATAAGAGGTGTGTTCGTGCTTCCCTCTTAGCTGGTCGATGATACCATCAAGATTCCATCGTGGTTGAAATGCCTCTGAATAAGCCTGCATTCCATTTGGTATTACATTTCTCGAAAAATCGTAAATGTGCTGCCCAAAAGCTGGCTTCACCTCTGATCCAGTGCCATGTCAAAATCTCATACAGACGCGGGGAAGTCTCCTTCAGTTGATGCTGAGGTCCGTGTGAAACTCACATTTGCGGTTCATCGCATCGGAGTGCCAGCGACCAGTGGGGGGATATATGCGAGAGGAGAGGGAGGAGAGGGAGGAGAGGAGAGGAGAGGAGAGGAGAGGAGAGGAGAGGAGAGGAGGAGAGGAGAGGAGAGGAGAGGAGAGGAGGGAGAGGAGAGGAGAGGAGAGGAGAGGAAGAGGAGAGGAGCGGAGAGGAGAGGAGAGGAGAGGAGAGGAAGAGGAGAGAG